TTCAAAATCGTTGGATTTCAACGAAAAAACGGATAATAATTTGTTAATAATTGATGAACAAATTAACATATAGAAGATCTGCTATGATGGGCACCTAAATATGTCATTTTAAATATATTGTAAAACAATTCGAATGGATAAAATTCAAATTGTTGTAGTTATTTTGCGTGCCGCATTGTAAAATCGTGTTACGAGAAAAACGCCTTTGTTTGGAATAAATTATAGATAAGAAAAAATAAAAAAAATTGACAGTTTAATTTTTTTTACTATTAATCTGATATCCCAGCTACATACAGATGCCATTGTATTTTTTTTTTTTTTTCTTATTTTCTTGCCTTGATCATTCCCGTTCGACATGCTTAAGCCGTTTGTAATCGACTTTAAGACAAAAATTACATGTTCAGATGCCAGCATTAATCTCCAAAACTATTATCATTTATAAAATATTGCTTAGACCATCGTTGAAATTATCGCCAGCAATATCAGCCGCTATATAGTGTGTCAACCCTTATATGTGTTGACTCTGCACTGATCATCTATTGGTTAAAAATGCTTTTACAATTTATTTATACAATATAAATATTTAACTAGTGGGGTGTATGGCATCGTGCCTTAAGGCAAATTGCTGGAACTTCCCGTACCGTAACGAACTGTTCGAGGAATACTGAATATTTTCAAATAGATTATTATTAATATTGTAACATTGTCTAATATTTATAAGAATTATATAAACTGAATTGCAAAGTTGAAATTATTTGTTAGAACTATAGTCAGAATTAAAAATAAAATCTAAAATATTTTCGATATACAAAAAAAAATTTTTTTGAAAAAAAAAGTTGAAACAATTTTTTTTTCAAAATCAATTATTTTGTTATGACAAGCTGAAAGTTCTTTGAATCATTTAAATCGGACGCTTAGTTCTCTCAAAAACTGCCATTTTTTTACATATTTAGCTTCGTATCTTCGAAATGACTGGGCCTGCCTTTGCCAAAAACTAATAAAAAAACACTTCTCCCAATCATTACTAATTGAATGTTTTTTAGATCATTCAAATCGGATACTCCATTCTCTCAAAAACTCGATTTCTATTTTCTGCACTCTTTGCTCCGTATCTCCGAAACGGCTGGACCTGCCTTTGCCAATAGCATAGTAAAAAAAAATTGCAGAGCACACGCTTTTTCCCTCTCTATTTACTGCAATAATTTTGTTTATCGTAGGTTGAATAGAGCGTATGCGAACACGATTTGACAAATTAATTCACTTCAAATATGAACTTAAGTAATAATGTATATGATTTGGTTCACGATTTGGGAAACCATCCGCTTTGTTTGTGTTAACGTCAGACCAAAAAACAAAAAATGTGGTTTACCAAAGATCACTTCCATGAAACGGATAATTTGCGGATTCACTTTCATTTACTTAGAGAAGTTCAACTAAAAAACACTTCATTTTTGTAATCAAAATAAATTCGAACTGTTGTATAATAAAATCAAATTTTTCCTTTTAAAATATAAAACAAACAAAAAATTTCTTCATCTTTCTCACGAAACCATCTGGTGGCGAAACGGAGTTCGTCGGGTTTGCTAGTTTTATATATTCTTTTTAATGTAAAAGAAGATAAAAAACAAACGACGGTGTCGACGATTCAGAAAAAGTTAGAACTGTCGAATTTACCGAGTCGTGATCACGAACCCCAACCATCAACAAGTACATCGAAAGCACCTGAATCAAATACATTGTTAACAACTCCTTCACCATCTAATGTCTAGAGAATTCCAGTAGTAATCAGTGGTGATGATGAGTTAGAAGCAACCTATGCACCACTTCCAAAAAAGGCAACTTTCAATTGTACAATCAATGGAACGAAAATATTCTGTTTGACAGTAACCATTAGTAAAATAATTCCGATGGTGAACTGTTTAAAGACGCAGATTAATAATATACTTATGGCTGTAGGTGATGGTGATGGTCCCCATGGAAGGGTAATAGAAAAAATAAAAAAAGAAATCCTAAAACAGATAGAACGCCGATTCAGACATATTGAAGATAATTATTTGATTGCAATGTCATGTTTGCTAGATCCGAGATTCAAGAATATCCATTTTCAGGACGCTAATGCTTGTGCAAATGCAATTTCTTTACTGAGAAGATATATAACAATGTCTCCTAGTGTTATCGGCAGCAGGATTTACAAATATAAAAGATGCAAGAATTAATAAGGAACACCTTAAGCAAAAAGTATCATGCATCATTGTGAAACGAAGACTTTTTGAGAATGTTGTTCTCATACCGTGATGACAGCGATTCCTCTCTTGAAACAACTTACGATTTTTGGAGCCACCACAAGAAATTAGCTCACACGAAAAAGCGATGTAAAACCAGTTCTTCATCACAGTTTGAAAATAAGGATGAAATAAGCCATTATTTATCTACACAGGTTTCCCCACTTTCTTTGGATCCTCTGAAACAATGGGAAGATCCATATCGCCAAAAAGACTGGACGAACTTCTTTTCTTGAGCGATTGTACCGAGGAGGAATGGACTTTATAATATTTTAGATTAAAAAATTGTGGCTTTACTTACAGGTTGTTTTTATTTATCTTATAATTATATGTACCATTTGTTATTTTTTCATTTTCTCAATTTAATAGTGAATGATTGATAAAGAAGTGAGATCGACCTACTAGTGAAGAAAAGTGTTAGCCACTTCCGAAGGAATGTTACTGGATGTGAAAAATTGCAGAAATTAATTCAAGATATTGAAACACAATGAAACTCCATGGTGAAGCGGTTTGTCGAGGTTGAAGAATCAATAAGGATGGCAATGAGCGTCTTAGATGCAAATCTACCATCATTGACTTCCGAAATGTGTAAAATGTGTGACACAATTATGTTCAACTTAAAAGCCGTTTGAAGACATTACTAACACTGTAGTGGTAAAAATTACCTAACAGAAACACTGGTATTAGTAAAATGTCTGAACGAGTTTTGCAACAAATTATTTGCTCGAAATGACCTGTTGCCAGTAATTAGAAGAATAACTGAAATTTTGAAATCGGGAATTAGCGACTAGATTTGAAGTGGAGGGATTTACAAATATAAAAGATGCAAGGATAAGGAATACCTTAAGCAAAAAGTAGCTTGCATCATTGTGGAACAAAGACTTTTTGAGAATGTTGTTCTCATACCGTCAACTCAAATGGAAATTATTGATGAGAATAACCCGTGGACTATTTTACATAGCCTAGAAGGAGCTTCACTGCATCAATCCACTCGACTATGTGTAGCCATAAAGGAAATCGACATATATCTCGCTGATGATAGCTTGCCTATGAAAACAGTAGAAGGTATTTTAAATTGTCCGATGCAATGATGGAGAAATCATCAACAAGTCTATCCAAGTTTGGCGACATTATTTAAAACTCACTATAATATTGTGGCTCCGTGTAAAAGTATTTTTTTGTACAGCAGTCATGATAATCACAGATAGAACAAGGCTATAAAATACAAAAGTAAAAAAATAATGTTCTTAAATATGAATTTGAATCAAAATCGTTTTGATACAGTTTAACAATTTTGAAATTATGATTGTTTGATTATAACATATTATACAATTTAAATCATATGTATTCATAATGTTGAGAATTTTCTTTGTAAGAAAATATTGTCAATTAAAGTTGTTCATTTAATATTACATTAACTATGTCTGAAATCTCTGCAAATATTAATTGCACCGTTCTTGTTCCAAGAACAAATAACACTTGGTGTCAACACTGAGACCACGAAGTGATATTCATCATCACTAAAGAGTTGGCTAGAACACCAAGCTAAAAGATCATTGAAGTATGTTAAATCGACTTAACAGAATTCTTTCAGGATTTATTTCAAGTGTATGCATATTTAGTTCAAGAGTTTGTAAATTTAGTTCAAGGAATTTCAGGAGTTCAGTTGTGCGTATTTTCGCATTGACCGGTGAGCAAAGTGGAGTAATTAATAATAAATGTATCAAGAATAAAATAATGTAATATATTGTGTAAGCAGATGTATTTCAGTTGGCAATGAAGAAAGTAAAGAAGGCCCAGAACCACTCTGACATCACATCGGATATAGAATTAAAGATTATTTAGAGACGTGATCGAACAAGAATTGAAACACCACTTGAGGTACTATGTGTTACTAATACACCAGAGATTTATCGACGACACAGAAGTAAATAAAAATATTAAGTAAATCCAGTTTTAATTTATACTAATTTATCTAAAAATATATTTTAGGTTTTCAAGATTCACTATTACTACAGAACACACTTAGACCCACTGCCAAAAGATTGATGATTAATTCTTGTAAGTATTGAATGAAAACACATAATAAATTTAAGAATGAACATAAGTAATACATAATAATAAATTTAAGAATCACCTACTTGTGGGAATTATGAAGCAGCTGGGAGCAGTGTGTAGGAGAACAAAGGTCGGATATTCAAGATCAGCAGATAATTTGTAAGTTGATAATAATATAATGTAATGTAAATATATGTTACGAAAATAATAAAAAAGTTTAACAAATGCAGATTCTCAAGAACAGATGAAAAGAAAAGAGGACAGAACAAGGAGCACAGAGAAGATGAACATGCAATTGCAGCAGCTAATAGGTAAGTTGCTTTGCTACTAATGAAATGTAAATATAAATTACGAAGGTCATAAGGAGAGGGCAAGAGGATGTGAGAAGAAGTATTACAAAAATAAAGAGAAAACCACAAAGAGTATTTCGAAGATCCAAATGCAATTCCAGCGGAGTACTGAATTGCTTAATTTAGTGGTCAACAAACCAAAACGAAGAAACGAGGATAGTGCAGATAATTGTGACGTTTTTTTAGATTGCAAGTCCTGTGGCAAATGATGACATATTGAGTGATTTGGAAGAATTCCTCGGAACTGAGGCAACGAAACAGAGTTTGGTAAATATATACTTAGTTAAATTGATGGTATTGTGAGTATTTATTAATGACTAGCTGACCCGGTGAACTTCGTTTCACATAAATAATCATTAATAAAATTTAATTAAATCTTGCACATGAAATAATTAACACATTTGGTTATGAATAGAATTAATGCAAAGCTTCCATATATACTATATTTTAATTCTTAAAAATACCTATTTTTTTATATTTCATATATAAAATATTTTATACATTTGCTTATGAATCGAATGTTTTGGAATCAATATAAAGCTTTTTTATAGAAAATATTTTTGGTCTTTTTTGCAGTGCGTAAATGAATAAGGATGATGGTTTACCGACGCGCAAACACGCAACGCATGATTGGCCGTGTGCGAAACATGGAAACTCTAAGTTGATACCGCAAACCTGCAGCGACTGTCCTTGCGATTTATTGATGCTCATTGCAAAAGCGAGGCGTATTGGAAATTGTAAACGCCTGAAATCAAATGGTAAATCCGTTGGGATCATAGGAATTCGCGGGATCAATACATTTTGTCCCTTGTATTTTCCTTTAATGATTTTTGCCACAATTACATTATTTATTAGCTTTTTCACAACCAATCTTGTTCCATTGCATAGTATGGGCTGATTTAAATAACGTAGCATGATGACAAGTGATCCTACTTTCAATTTTAAATTATGTGGTGGCAGCCCAGGCAATTCTAATGAATTTAAAAATTCTGTAGGATAGTTGAGTATGTCATCCTGATTTGTAGCTGTGTCTACAGATTTATAAGTAAAGCATTCCCCTGGAAGTAAACTTTGTATTGTTGCATTGAGATCATCGACATCTTTGTTTTTCGCCGCCAATATTGTTCGTTCGCTCAGCCAATTGAGATCGTAAAATTGTTGGTTTATATCTGGGAATACGCATTGACTAAGCCCCTCCTTTGTGTTTGTAAAACTGCAAAAATCTGCGGGAAATGTTATTAACCGGTTCGAGGCATCAACTGCGACATTACCATTTCCAATATTTAGTAACTGCTTTGAAAACACTTTTGCTGTTTCATCTTGTTGCAAAACCACTCGCATGTTCGTTGTTAACTGGAGTTTCTTAACATGACGCCACAAATTTAATGATTTTAGGCTTGCGTTTAGTTCGTCAGCAACAGTTGATCGCGGTATAACTGGAAGAGTTTGGCGAAAATCACCTGACAACAAAATCATTGCTCGACCAAAAATATTTTGATTGTCATGTAAATATTTCAATGTTTTGTCCAGTGCTTCCAGTGACCTCTTGTGGGCCATTGTACATTCGTCCCAGATAATCAATTTGCATGTCTGAAGTATCTTGACCGTGGCGCTAGTTTTTCTGATGTTGCAAACTGGTGTTTCATTGATTTGCATATTAAGAGGTAACTTCAATGCTGAATGTGCAGTTCGTCCACCTTCTAACAATATTGCTGCTATTCCTGATCATGTCAATGCTGGAGCTACGTCATTTTGCGATCTGATCTTTGCCAATAGCAATGATAACAGGAATGTTTTTCCAGTACCACCAGGAGCATCAAGAAAAAAAATCTCTCCAGATCCACAGTTCACAGCTTGTATCAAATCATCATATACAATCCTTTGATGATCATTCAACTTTGAAACAGTTGTGCGAACTATTTCGGTCTATGTTTTAATATCATACTGTTGCTCCCTTTAAGAAGGTTTATGAGTTAAGACTCATGGTAAATCTTGTACACAACGGTTTAGTTCTGTCAGGCCCAAACATGATAATATTTTATTCGCTATCAATAAACACATATCCTCTATCATGATCAAAGTGTTATTATAAATTTCTGCAGTAATTTGTAGTGCTGGATTGAATGTTTGACAACGCGCACTATGTAAAATATCCTCAGACATGTCATCTTCAAATCTTTCGGATTTGAGGAAAAACATGTTGAAATTATAATCGCAAACAATGCACGCACTTGATGCGGAAATGATGATATTATGGCATCCTTGAGCGTATTATCCCAATGCGAATCGTCTTCGAGCAACTGCAACATGTGACATGCTTCACGGTAAGTCGCACAAATATGTCCATCAACTGTTTTCAATTGTTGAAATGATGTCGGTCCAGGAACATTAACCAGGAATAACCTAAGGTAGTAACATTCATCATTATTTGGATGTACTGTATAAATGCGCCCTATAGCATCTGTAGCAAATATATTTGGATATCCTTCAACCGGTGTTCCTTTTTTACGATGTTGAAACGACTTTGATGATGCGTTCCATGTGTAATAGCGCGGCATATCAGCATACATCAAAGTACGGGCGAAATCATCTCTTTGACAAATTGAAAAGAAACTTGTTAATGTTGTTGAAGGTGGATGCGCCGCTATATCAACAGTATTAACGGGGTTACACTTTGTCCATTTTCTAAATGGACTGCCAAATGGACTACAGAAGAGTGTCTTTCATGTATTGGGAAAGAAAAAATTCTCCAAATTGCTTCATTGCTACTTGCATAGCGATCCATCTTATACTCAGAAACTTCATCATTTGTTTTAGCAACAGCGTACATGGCCATGTCACTACCTTTGTTAATATATTTGCATATATATTTTATTGACTTGACAGAGTTACAAAATTCTATATTGATGTGTGCTTGAAAAGTTTTGGATAATATCGGGGAGTACGGCACAATCTATCGGTTGTCAACATATAAATTTCGTCCTTTTACCTTCACAACTACATATTGCCCACCATCCGCAACTGATTGCCTACGATACAGCGGATAACTGTCATTTCCATTAATGGTTTCAGCAGTTAGATTTCTCGGGTATCGTTTAGAGCACTTGCCGTCAGTCATACAGGTCGAGTTATTGTTGAAAACTCCGCAAGGTCCATGTATCACATGTTTAGTAATTATTGCATGCAAATTTTGATCGACATTTTTATTAGGAATCTCTGCTGATATGACTGAATCAATATCTTCTGGCCTCATTTTGTCAATTAACCAGACTAAGATGTGCGCATGTGGAAGACCACGCTTTTGCCACTCAACAGAGTACATCCAGCAACGTACTTGGGCACATACATGATGCTTTATTATGAAATTCAACAAAGATTTCAATTTTTGTTTAAAAACTCTGGTAATATCATGTCTATATCCTGGTGTTTGGTCGTGTATCAATTCTTTCTTAATTTCTATCCATTGCGGGTTACATGTAAATGTAATGAATAGATAGATCAGGGCGACCATATTTTCTAACGTATGTCATTGCATCTTGTGCGTATTCCTGCATGTGGCGCGGGCTTCCAATGTATGTAGACGGCAAAATTGTCATTTTACCCACATTGTTTGCATTACCATCGGCAATAATAGCATCACGAAGATGGATGTATTTCTTCAGATCAAAGGTGCTGTTGGTTTAAGCGGATGTATGTTAATCGCTCAGCCTCAATTTTGACATACATGTCAACAGCGAACTGTTGAAAAAGTCGTTGACACATCAAAATGTGGTTTATTTCACAATCACGGATCATCAGCCTGTATGAATAAAAATTCATAGCGCTAACTTTTTTATTGGTTTCAGCATCTAAAATCACAAATAATAATATACATATTGAGTTAAAATATATTATTTAATTATGTTTATAATTGCCTGTTATTGGATTAACCATTTTGACACTAAAGTGGTAGCCATCTTCTCCCTGCCAGAAGATTAACGGATATTGTAAAGCATCATTCATAAGACCTATGAGTTTCGGACACTCGCCTTAATTCATTGTTTCGGCGATGAAGCACAATATCTCTTGATTGCATATTTTCTCCAACAACGACTATAGCCACCTCATCAAATGTTGGTGAATTAAATCTTTCTGCATGCTCACCAGCAGGTGTTTTGTCAGCTCTTATCACAATATTATGGCTGTCTGATGGCATTCGATTAAGTGCCACTTTGAATAAATTCACTAAACGATTGTTGCGATGAAGAAACGTTTGCAGTTGTTGGCTTTACTGATGCATTAGGAGTACAACGCGTATCAACTTCAGCGCCCTGATTGCCTAGGAAATAAATTTGTAGAAATTGATGATCTGCATCTGGTAATGGCAGCAGTGCCCCCAATAGGTGATGAATTTGTCCTTGCACCTTGTAATTTTTTATGACATTTTCAATTTATTTTTGATACAAATACAAATTAACATTAGAAACATTATGATATATTACCTTGAACGTCGGCATGAAATTGTTCTGTACTATATGCGTTGCTCCGAAAGATGTCATTTGGAAGCAATTATTATATTTCTGGATGTTGGATAAGAAGTGTTTAAAGTCATTGGTCATTCCAAAAATTTGTGAGTGTAATGGATCAGGTGGTGGTACCAATTGTGGCAACTTCACCTTACCGCCAGCACAACATAGTCCTGCAGATTCACCATTGTATTTTAAGGCTTTCAAGTGCTGACAAATGATCGACATGTCTCCAATTTTTACAAATTTGTGGGCACTGTAATCTATTTCCGGATCATAAGAGAATGCTGCTCGCTACACGTTGACTGAAGCATTGCTTCCGCGAATTCGAGATGTTTCATTTTCGCGTGCTCGCTGCTGTTGCGATCGATTTGCACCAACTTGCCCATCAGTGCGGTTATTACGCAAATTACGTTTTAGGCGTGTTAATCGACTTCGACGACCAATGTCAGGTCTATTTCTTCTCAGCATCGTAAACAGCTGGTATCAGATTTATATAGTATAGATACTACTGTATATAGGGTTTGTGATTCTCCTAAATCACACTAAAACACTATACCTCTTCAATAACTTTGTATTCGAGTTTGTGATTCTCCTGAATCACACTAAAATACTATCTTTAATAACTCTGTATTCGAGTTTGTGATTCTCCTAAATCACACTAAAACACTACACTTCTTCAATAACTCTGTATTCTCACTATGTTTCACAATAACTTTGATTCGGCATTAAGCTTCAAACCATAGGTAAAAGAAGAGTAATCAAACAAAGCATTAATCCTTATGTTAACTAATCAACCAATATTACTTATATCATAGCTAACTTCATACATCAATGTTCGCACTGATGACCGTTGCATTCAAATTTAACTTATTACTAACATAAGCTTAAAAATATGTATAAACAGAAAACTTAAAAAATAACGCAAACACATAGGAAAAATTGAATATAAGAAAATATGATGCACATAAGAAAGTAATAATTAGGATTAAATGATAATCAAAGTATTATAATTATAATGTGTAATTTAATCATAATTTTCCTCAAAACTTTAATTTTTTCAGCTTGTTTCTTGTTCTAATTCTTAAAATATATTAAAAAATTCCATTAAATTAAATAAAATGTTAAAAATTTTAAAACAAATAATTAATAAAAAATTCGTTGCTTGGAATTTATAACACTACATTTATGTAAAATTGTATGTAAAATTCGTTGCTTGGAATTTATAACACTTCATTTATGTAAAATGTATGTCACCAACTTAATATAATAGATTCTATAATTTATTAAACTGTGCATTTATGCTAAATGTTAAACACTAAATATGAAGAAAATATAAAGCTATAACAATGCGTCTCTAGGTGATAAATAATACAAAAACGATATATATTTCTCAATCTTTATTATAACAATATATATTAATTATAGTTATAAATATTTTCGTTGAATATATAATCAACTAATAAAAAATTTTATCAGCTATGTAAACATTAATTTATTGAAACATTAAAGAATTTTCAGAAACGTCAAAAAATGCATAGTACATTTGTTTTTACTGAATGTATTCACAAATAAAAAAATTAGACATTAGTAGTAATTTATTGTTCAAAGAATTTTGTTTGAAATAATTTAGTAGTCGACGAATTTCTTCCTCAATGAAATTAGTATTTCTTCTTTAATATCCCATGACATAAATGTATATAAATTAATAAGCAATAAACAAATAACAAATATTGTTTAAATTTATCTTATTATTTTTCTCTATTAATTATGAAATCAATAACCATCTTGGAGTTCTAAATGATTATAATTTAGCTTATTATCAGTAAGTTGCAATTTAAAAATTATTTTCCGTGAAGTGTTTTATGCTGAGAGTTCTGCGGATTGTTATATAGCTATAGAAAATGGACATTTTTTCTTTCTTAATTTGCTTTCACATATTCACATTTTTAACATGAGTTCATATTGCAATAAATTTCAATGTGTTTATTTTGACTTTCTTTTTTTGCAATTGTGTATCCAAATTAGTGGCATCTTTGTTATCACCATGAC